ATCTGCCGGAAAAGGCTGCCGGAAGTCCGCCGGTAATCATTACTATTTTTTTATAAATTGGATAGCGATTATCGGCGGACCCCGGTGTCCGCCGAATTTTTTTGAAAATAAATATTAATTCTTAATTATTTTCCAACGGATTTCTGGCGGATCTTAATTTTAAAAAAATAATTAAATATCCGCCGGAAATACACCGGTAAATTATTGTAATTAGATTTAAATACAAGCCTAAAATAATTAATTACGAACCCCGCCAGAAATATTATCAGAATAATTTTACCGGCTGATTTCCGACAGAAGTCAACATAAATTGACTTTTTTGTTGTCCCACGAAAATCCGCCGGTAAATTTTTCGATGGATTTCGTTCGCCGGAAATACTCATTATTGTAGTAGTGTCTTTTAGCTGCAATTTACCTTGAATAAAAAATTCAATTAACTTTTGTTGAATTTTGTACCAATTAGATAAAAACTATAGAATTGTTATTTATCTATCTATCTATCTATCTATCTATCTATCTAGGGTATATTTCTTTTATGACCTTGTGTATTTGTATAACCCTTGCAACCCAATTAATAGAGAGAGGAGGTTTACTTTGCAAACCACGTTATTTATATAAACCGTACAAACCTCATTCAACCAATCATAATTTTTCATTTTGTTCATTTTTTTTTTGTAATTATGAGGGGTTGATTAATCATTTTTATTGTGGAGGGTGTTAATCATGGATATTATTATCATCATTATTTTAGTTTTAGAGAAATAGATGAAACAATTTCATTAAAATTTCATTATGTATTATATGAAACAATTTCATAACCATATATGAAAGAACTTCATCAAAAAAAAATATTATATGAAACAATTTCATGAAATTTTTTTCATAAGATTAAACAATGAAATCGACGGATGAAGGTGGTTTTCACGGTTTAAATAAATTGGGTAAGAGTTGAAAATTAAGAAATACATTTCTATTTTAAAGCATTATATAAAAAATATTATATAAAAGCATGTTAAACGGTTAAAAGAATTAAAAAGTATATTTCTTTATTATGCATTCAATTTTAAAGCTAAACAACTTTCATGTTTCAAAAGATAATATTAAAATCAAATTATTTTTAATTTTTAAGTTATATTTTACATCTTTATAGTTAGTTATTTAATTAACTTTATATCTCTTTCTTTTTTATTTTCTTTGTACACCATTATCATATTATCATACATAATCGTATATTAACTAAAATATATTAAAAAAATATATTTCTATTTTTACAAATTATATCATTATAATCGTCTCATCAATGCCTTCAAAATGAGTTCAATATTGAATATTTTCGATTTAATCTCATATTATTAAATAACATAAATTCGTAGTGAATTATTTTTAAAAGTTTCAATTTATACCTCATAGTTATCGTATTTAATTTGTTTTATATTTCCTATTTTTCATTTATATTTTACACTTTTAATTTACAAATCTAAAACTGCCCATAACTTTAAATCTCCACGTCTCAAAATAATATTAAATATCAAATATTTTTTATTTTTAAATTACAATTTATACTCTTA